TGTTCCGCCGCTACTGAATAAGACGGTAAGTACCGTCAGCTCGAGACACCAGCCAAAGTGTAGTCTGTGGCGACATCTATACAACGTGGCATCTCTGCTAGCTAGCACCAGGGGACAGGAGTGTTGCTGAAATGAGGTCGAAGTACGAGATTAGCGGCGCCGGCTCCGGCTCAGATAGCTCATCATTCCTAGCTCTAGCTGCTGATGGACTGAGCATCAGCAGCAGGCAGCTGTTCAGAAGAACAATTAGCAATGCTATCAGCATTCGGCTCAGCGGGATCGGGCTCCGTCCGGACTCCGAAAGCTACTTAGCAGCGGCAGGGTCATTTCGACGTTAAATATCCAACATGTTTTATCAAAATTTGACCCAAAGACTTTCACCTGCAAAACAGATTTTTCTCTACCAGAAGTGCATCATGCACATCGCATGTTGTAAACACGCTCGATTTGTTCATCCCTGCCTAACAGGAGCCCTATGTCCCTTGTCCGTCCAAGGCAGCTCGCTGCCTGGTGCCGCCATCTACCGGCCGGTGAGTATACAGATGTCGCTAGCTGTCGGCCTGTGAACTGTAAATCTGCTATGCCTCTGGCCGGAGGGACCGGAGGGACGAACTGTGAATCGTATGACCGGCATATAGAGAGTGAGTCGGCACTCGGCAGTGCATAAATGATAAATGTTGTCATCCCTCTTATATCTGAGCTGTGACGGCATATCTCTGATCGTCAGAGCTGAAAGAAGTGCTGGATGGACGGCGTTGTGGCCTCCCTCGTCCTTGATGTGACGTTTCACGAACGATTCGGAGCTTACAGGGCTGAAAAGTGAGGTCTGCGGTTGTCATGGCGCTGCACGTCACTCGTCCGAAGAAGAAATCGCAACTCTGAAATGCACCGCTATTTTATTATCTCATCATGGGTTTACGGAAGGTTACGACTGGTACTGTAATAGACAGCCGTTGACGTAGGTGTATGACTTGTAAACATTAGAAGCATGAATGTCAAGGCTAGTGAGGGTATCACAAGGCTTTGGGTGAGCGGCGCTCTTTAAATTGGATATGTTCTCGTCTCTCCAGTAATTCAATGCACCATCTCCTGTCACCGTATCAGAGGAATGGGAGACGGCTAGACATGAGCTTTGTAAAACGAGGTAGAACACCACCACACTCTTCTTCTTCTGGACAGGAGTTTTGTCAAACGGTACACCCCCGCACTGTGTCCCTCTCACATCCGTGACCGACATTCGTACTGTCCACACGAACAAAAAATCCCCTCCCCTTACAGCACAGGCAAGCAAAAAAGCAGGTGCAAAAAAACTGATCGTGCCCTAAAAACATGCTCAGCCATGGGACAATTTGTCACAAAGGGGGACGTTTTACCCTTACGGAAACAGCACGTGCAAGAGGTGAAATGTACTTTTGTCACGATATAATAATTTTCGAGATGGGGTAGCTTATGAAGTTTAATGGCAAATTTTCTCAGTTGTAAGGCTTGAACCTAAATTAAAATAAGTGATGCAGTGGCACCTCAGCCGAATATGAAGGAATGAATGGAAGAATAAATCAATGAATGAACGAAAATACTATCAATTATTTTAACTGAGTTCATAAGCAACACCGCAGGTTGTGTTGCAAGTTACATGATAACGCGAAGAGAGCGCAAAAGATCTCCGTTATGAACATTGCTAAAAGTGTTTACAGTTATTTGCAGTTAGATTAGACTGATTCGAAAGCTGTTGGATGCACTGCGATTTAAGTTCATGTTTTGGCCGTTCGTTTTGTGAATTATGCTTACCTAAAGAAAATCTTAGATTTTATACAGAACCGATTTTTTTGTCATAGCAGAGCACATGTGAACTTTACTAACCCCAACTGACCACTTTTGATTCCAGTGGTTTCTATTGACCCTCAGTGACCTCCCTCCTTCTATGTGACCTCCCTACTCCACTCAGAGACTTGTTTATTTTCAATGACCTCTGCTGACTATCAGTGACCTTTATTGACGTCCAGTGACTTCTGCAGGCCCCAGTGACCTCTATTGGTTTCCATAGATCTGCATTGACCCCAGTGACCTCTACTGACCCCTATTGGCAACTATTGACGTTAGTTATCTCTGCTGGCCCCGGTGACCTCTGTTGACCCTAGAGACCCGCGCGACTCAGGAGCACAGCTGGTCGGCGCCTGTCGCCGGTCCGTCTCCTCTCGATTGGTCTGATTAGGGAATCGTCCAGCATTCAGTGCTCCCTCGGAATGTGCTGTGAGCCGCCGAGTAAGGGTGCGTCTGGGCGGTGGTCACGTTTTTTGTCATGGCTTTCTCCGTTTTTTTTTTGTCTGCCCCTCTCGATGGGTCGCTGGACAGAGCCACCGAGGAGTCCTGTCGTCTTTCCGATCAGGCTTCTCATGCCTATATTCAGCCGAATCGGGATAACCCGAATATATTAAATCAGAAATCAGGTTCGTACCTATTTTATGAGCAGCTGCCGGAGCTTAAATTCCTATTACCTACGACAGATAAATGCAGCTCGAAAATGAATTAATAGCTTTCGCTGTTTACGTTGCGGATCATTGTCTGTAAATGCCTAGTTTTAGCCGTTTTGTCATATTTTGTTTTCTGTTTGGTAGCGAAAATGCGTTTGTCGTTTGCAAATGATTGACTGAAGGCGCAATGAATCTATAAATTAGCCCTAGCAATAAATGGGCATTTTCTTCATTCACAACATGGTAGTGAGGAGACTCATATAGGTACGTAGAATTGTTAAAACGCCATACCAGCAGCATTTTCTTATTCAAAAAATTCAGAACTAAAATTCATTCAATTTTACCATGGCTACTGGCTACTTCCGTTGCCTCCACATAGCAAAGGAGAACACCCTGCGTCCCCCTCTGGTGCCCTGGACATCCGATCCCCTCTAAGAAGGCGGCACCGAGCCACATGGGCAGCCTCAAGGTAGCGGGGTGGCGCCCTTCAAACCTTCCTCTCTCCCCTCCCTCTCCTCCCCTCTCCTCCCTCTCCTTCCCTCTCCTCCCCTCTCCTCCCCTCTCCTCCCTCCCCTCCCCTCTCCTCCCTCTCCTCCCCTCTCCTTCCCACAGCGTCTAGTACTCGGCGACGACATGGTCTGAACGAAATAATTTCCGCTGGAGATTTCAAATTTCAGAGACCAGCAAGACCAACAGATTCAGGCCTACGCCGTAGTTACGGCTCCTGTTTGAATATATACCTCAGTATTTTACATAACAATCATGCATGCTTTTGTAGAGACAATTCCGTCTATTCTAAGACAGTAGACTGCATTTTGATCTGTTTTCATCAGCTTCCTCAGCCAGTGGCCACCGATCTGTCTCAAACAGTCAGCGGACGGTTTGAGGTCCTCTGGATTCCCAGTGTGGTCGCCGGCTATCTCAACCCTTTCTGTCCGTCTGGCCCGGCCCCGGCGGCGTCCCAAGGTCACCGATGGCTAACCCTTTGGTGGTGCGTGACCTCGCGGGCTCAGTTTACTTCCCCGGCCGGTCAGAACAAAGGGTTGGCGCCAGACGCGCCCGGGGGAGCGGTGGGTGGCTACTGGCTACTGGCCACCCTCGCGGCTTCTGGGACAGATGACAGCAGGCTCCCGAGACAGACAGATGACAGCAGGACCTACTGTCACGACTGGGGCGGGGGTGGCTACATGGCCACCTCCAGTTCTCGTGACAGTCGGGATTTGGCAATGGATAGCCGGTCCCGCAGTGCAGTTGCTGTCTTATGCGATAAAGGCATGGGTAGTTCACAGTTTAACCCTCGCCGGCCGAGGGGGGGGGGCGGGTGCCGCCCCCCCCATAGGGTTTTTTCGCGATAGCTCCGAACACGCTGGCGATAGAGAGCTGAAACTTGACATACCTGACCTTTGATCCAAGCCGCATCTTTTGACACCAACCGCATTTTTGGGTCAGGTCAGGTCACTGACCTACGACGTCATAAGTGAACCTCTGCACGGTCTTCAGATGTCGCAACTTCGCAACGCCCTCACTGCCAGAGGAGATGTCACAGGGAAATGAAACTTGCAGGATCTAGTATCCATTATGAGTCCCACAACTTGTATATCTCGGATTTTTCCTAAAGGTCATATGAGGTCAGGTCATTTTCGTGACCTCACCATTATAAGTCAATGGGGAAAAATGAAAACTGCTATTCTGGCGCCGGGAACGATCTCCAACTATCTCAAGCACACAGAATCGTGATTTTATGCACTCCTTGGAAGGTTAGATGCGTCACTTTTGCAATGTTGACCTTGCGTGACGTCATTTATGACGTCATCAAGGTCATATTAGTTTTTCGTCAATAACTCTTGATCAAATTGAGCTAGTGAGTCGGGAAAGCCACCAATGGACTCAGGAAGACCTGCCGAATCGAATGATATGCGACATGACCTCTTTCGACCAACTTCGTGACCTGGGGGTGCTGACCTGACCTTGACCTGAGGTTAACACCCCAAGTTGACCTGACCCGGACAAAAAGTATATCATTCGACGCGCCTGAGCGAGACAAACACGATGCTGCCAAAATCGGCGCTCTGCGGCCGTTTTTTGCGAAGTTATTCACCAAAAACTGAACCGTACCTTGGGGCACTTGACCTGACCTCAGAGGTCACCGGTTGACCTAGGACCTTAAAATCGGGTACCAATCTCTGCGTCTCGTAACGGCGCACACGCTCGTTTTTTCCGCGACGCGCTAGCTCCACCAGGGGCGAAACGGCGAGGGGGGGTCGTACCCGCCCCCCCCCCCCTCGGCCGGCGCGTATGTAGAAAACCAATAGGTCCGGCGAGGGTTAAAGTCCTGGATATTTCACTGATGCCTATCTTGATCTAGCGTAGAAGTAGACGGACGTAATTTACGTCATGTCTCGGTATATCATGCGACGCATTTGCAGGAATGGACGTCACTTCAGTTCATCTTAGGATATGTACTTTGTAAAAGGAAATGCACGCAGAAAACAATCGGAGGAATAAAAATGGCAATGAGGCCGAACTTACCTTTTCGACGGCAGAACAAGAACCACTGAGGCCTGGGCGTTGACATTGTATTGTTGGCTGCTGTGTTTTCTACTTCTTGCATCGCTTTCTAAGTTCAAAGGGACTAAAAAGTAAAATAAAATGTTTAACTTAAAGGTTATAATTCGCTTTGGAGTTCACCGCTTCACAGTTCGGGTCACTGCACGCACGGTGGTACACGGCATTCGGCCCGTCACATGCGCCCCTCAATACTACCGGGCCAGTGCTCCCGTGACCCGACCGGCCCTCGGGGTCAGCCCGCTCGACCGGCCAATCAAAGGGAAGGTCACCCGAAGGGTAGCAGATGGAACCGAACCGGGTATGGTCGGGAACTGCTGAGGTGAGATTTAGGCTGCGATATTTGAGGTGGAAGTTTTTTATGTCAGAGTTAACGTTGAAATGTTTGAGTATAATAGTTAATCTTATTTTTCAGTGACGGAATCTTATATTGTCACCGGATTCGACAAAATGTCATACGCTTGTGATCGGAGCTAATTGTTTTTTGTTTTTTAGTAGAAATAGACGTGCCTTGCCTTACCCATGCACACGTGAAATTCAGGACACCCTTTGATGCTTATCAGTTACCCCCTCTCCCTCCCCACCACCACCAACCGCTCCCTTCTGTAGTTTTGCGACCATTTTCCTACATCCAGGACAAACATCCGAATACGATACAAGACTTTATTCAAGCGATATCGATAGTAAAATTGTACAAGAACGTGCCACGCATCTTCGAACGTCCTCCGTGAAACTCACGGATCCAACCCTCCCCAGCGGCGGTCCGGCGCCCATCTGGCACCCAATCCATCTGGCATCCCCAGTCCATCATAGCAGCCGCAGCCGCCGAGTCACCAACATAACCTGGCAGTTTCGCCGTAGTCTTTTCGCAGCGCAAAAAGCTGGGAGCACGGCATTTGACAAAGCAAACAGAACAACGCAGGTGGCGAAATAAGGAGCCATGCTGGCGGCGCCGGTCGCATCCGGGGAGTTTTTTTTTTCGGGGGCCCGCGGCACCGCTGTGGGCGCCCTGTCAAGCACCGAGTCCCACTACATCCCACCGGAATCACTGTGACACCCGGCACGATCACAGTCCATCACTTGACCTTGTCGGACTCGAACCTTGGTAAGGTCGATGATTGAGGTCGACATTAGATGTCCTTCCTTCTCTCCCACACGCGGTATGGTTGCATTGACAATTAGACAGCGTTTGACACTGTTTATCACTTGCCAACTCGAGTCACAACCGCCGCCACTAGTCGCCATCCGGTCGCCCGGGTCGCCCACAGGTCAAGGTCGCCGAGGTCACCCACAGGTCACTCGGGGTGCCCTGCCCGCGGGCGACAGCCACGCCTGAGATGCGAGCTTCCCAGCACGAAAGGTAATGAAATATCTTACAGTATGATACAACAAACATAATTCAATTGCGCCTCCCCGTCCCCGAAATACCAACTGGCTCACATACCGCCGCGCCTAGAAAATTACAAACTGCGCGGTCATGCGCGCCTATATCTATAACAGCAAGAAATAACACGTAACAAACACCACACTGCACGGGCCGATCCCGCAGCCTAGCGGCGCGGCGCACGCTCATCGCAAACACGTGAAACAAGTCAGCGCACGCAGAAAGCAACCAATCCGAGAAGCGCCTGAGCCGGCCGGCGAGGTGCCTTCTCCCTGCCCGAACAACCCGTGCGCGGGCGCCGTGGCGCCGCCGGCGCCTCTACCCTGTTTGATTGATGCAGCTGTGGTGGTTATTTACAATGCCAGTTTGATTGGGTTCTATGGGAGCGGCGGCTGGCCTGCCAACCGCCGCCGGCTGGTCACTCGGTGACCTGAGGTCACGCCGGGTCACACTGGGTCCCACGCGCCTGACCTTGCCTGGCGCTGAGATGACGTCCCAGACTATCGCTAACATGGAACACTGAACTAGGTAAATACCAAAATATGGCAGTTAACATTTAACGTTTCCAAAGTCAATGCCAGTACAGTGAGTCATGACAGGCAGCAGAATGTTATGCCGAATAAATCAATTTAGTTTGTCCATTTTAAAAAGAAACACTGAGCTTATTCAGGGACTGAAGTCGTCTTTCCACGATAGGCATCAAACCCCAAGTTTGATGGTTATAAAGCCAAGTTGCCGAAAGAATACCACTAATTAAAAATTGATAGTCAACACGTAAAATCTGCCCAATTTAAATGCTGACATCCCAAACAACAGCTAGTGATTATGTTAAAATTTCCACACCCGCCACGCTGGCGGTCAAATTCGGTCGGTTAGGGGCAACAGCTACACCCGCACACAACAGCAATGAGGTATGTGGTCCGGGTCGCCGTACTAGCAGCCTATCCTCGCCCGCCTACGACCGGTGACGTCATCATTGCGTCATCAGCACCACCCCGGTGGCAGCCCTGCGGCGCGCCCACCCAATCCACCGACCCCCCACAGGCAGTACTACAAGCTGGCTGACCCGTCAGCTCACTGGGCCCCGGGCCCCGAGTGGGCCCGGCGGCAGCCTGCGAGCGTGCAGGGAGGGACACAAACAGTGGGGCAGTGGGGCAGGCCGGGCCGCGCGACCGGCCGCCCGCCGCCGCGCTGGCTCTAGTGAGCACACAACGATAACAACAGGTCGGTTAACACCTCTACAATATATGCAGAATGTACACAGAGAGTGAGAGAGGGAGAGAGCGACGCACGCCGGAGAGCCCGCCTCAGCCGCGGCGTTTAACCAGACGGAGTCTTCCGCTTCCGCTCTGAGTCAGCCCGCAGTGACTGCCGTCTTCCGCCGTCAGCTTTGCTTCGTCTTCAATGATCACCAGCGCTGCCAGCAGCGGCGGCGGCGGCTCCGGCTCCTCCATCGACCTATTGCGTTTGTGGTGGCGGCTTGTCTTTGAGTCCGAGCAGGTCACCGCCGGCGCCAGCGCCGCCTCCGCGCTGCTGCTGCGCGTAGCTGCTGATCTGGTGCAGCGAGATGAAGCCACTGGTGTTGCCCGCCGGCTTCATCTCCAGACCTCCCCCGGCCTTGGGGAAGCTGTTGGGGTCGTAGAAGTAGCGCTGCGATGTGGGCGGCATCTGGAGCGGCAGTGGCGCGGCACCCACCGCCGGAGCCATGCTCTGAATCGGCGTGAACGCCGACGAGGAGGCCACAGAGGCCCGTGGCATGTCGTACACCACGTTCTGCGCCAGGCTGTGCGCCGGCCGGCCATCCTCCAGGCTGAGTACGCGGTGCTCCAGACCATCACGGCCCAGGTGGAGGCGCGTCGGGTCCAGCGGGGATTGCAGGGCCGCTCCGCCGGTGTTCACGTCAAAGTCATCCTTGGGCCAGTAGGGGTTCTCGAGCCGCTGGGGCGCGCCCAGACCTGGAACTCCACGCTTGTCGACGCGATCGGCGTGCTTCTGCATATGCTTCTGCAGGTAGGTCTCCTGCGTGTAGCTCTTGCCGCAGTACGGACAGATCTGCGTCTTGAGGTGCTTCGACTCCTTGTGCTTGGGGATGTGCTCCAGCAGGCTGGCCTCGTCGGTGAAGCACTTGTAGCACGAGTTGCACTTGTAGGGCTTGTCGGTCTGGTGGCAGCGTGAGTGACTCTGCAGGTTGGAGAGCTGCGAGAACGCCTTGGAGCAGCCCGGGTGGCGGCACTTGTACGGCTTGTCGCCCGTGTGAGTGCGGATGTGCTGCTGAAGGTGCGACAGCTGCGTGAACTTGCGCTGGCAGATCTCACAGCGGTACGGCTTGATGCCCAGGTGGATGCGCGTGTGCTGCGACAGGTAGGAGCTGTTGGCGAACGCCTTGCTGCACTGACTGCACTTGTACGGCTTGGCCTCCCGCATGTGCACCTGCACGTGCATCTGGAGATCGGCCTTGGAGGCGAACATCTGCCGGCACACAGAAGAGAGACAAAGCGTCAGGGCGGGTCGGGCACCCCACACAGCGCAGAAACGGGGACACGCGGGTGCACGGTGGACAAAAAAAAAACGGACACATGAGACGGCTGCCGTCCCGTTAGCCGGCGAGCATCGTGTACCGCCACTGGGCATGGCCTTGAGCCCTCCGGCACCGACAGAACAGAGCTCCCTCTCAGAATAATCCCCGGGTAATTGCTTTCCGGTACGGCTCACGCTGCACCTTTCGACAACCACTTACAGTTCAGCCCGGCGCGCCCGTTCACCCCACGTTGCTGCCGTCGCCTAATGCAATTCGCATTGAGGGTGGTCCCCATGTGAGGATCAATGCCGATGTCCATATTTATGGCTGTTAAATCGCCTCACAGGGTAATTTTACAGCCCAGAACGTTCGGAATGCATCGCCCCACAAAGGGCAGCAGACAATGCAGCGCTGGAGACAGGCAATAGAGGGCCGTCGCCGCCGACGGCTGCACCGCCGACGGTCGACGCTGCAACTGCAGCCTGCTCCAGTGGCGGATCCAGGGGGGGCAAAATGGGCATTTGCCCCCCCCCCCAAACGGCATGATTTTAACATTACGCCTATGGACGATGCATGGAAAGAATCGATAAATTTTTATGGTTTGCCCCCCCAAACCTCTGAGCTGGATCCGCCTCTGGCCTGCTCGACGGGCCGGTAGAGGTCGGTAGGTCGGGTGAGACGGCGCTGACTCACGAAGTCTTACTCTGAGTCATGCGGTAATGTTTGAGAGGCCACGCTAGACGGACGTGCCGAACAGCATGGCGAGGAACTGACGCGATGTGTAAATGAGATGTGTCAACTGACCTCAATGATAAATTGGCATACGGGTCATTCTTTCTCTGCTTATATGCCTCATTCTCTTCCTATTTTGTCGTAGGATATAAGCCAGTTTCCAGGCTCCATCGTTTGACCGCAATTATCGTGTGCAGGCAACACGTAACGGTCAACGATATTGGGGACCCACCACCAAGCAGAACCGTGCAAAAAAAGACGCATTAAAAGGCGATCTGCGGTTGGAGGATAGGGAAAGTTTCGGGACATATTCCCGACTGTCTTCTGAAAGGGTTACGTATATCCTGTGTGAGGTTTGGAAATAGACGGCTCCTTTGTCATGCCCTCGCTCGTGAGTGGGCTGCGTTACCATGCGATAAAAAAAAAAACTAGCCAGCGGCTCGGCTCGGCCCAGATAGCGACGGCCGATATACTGGCTCGGGTGGCCTGGTGCGACCAAGCAACGGCCGTCCAGCGTAGCCAAAACGCCGCCCAGAGTTATGAGGGGACGTCAGTCACCCTCCACAAGGACCG